CGGGAAGGAAACAAGTTGCTGTGCGCGTTCTCGCGCAGCACTCGTGGACAGTCTTCGGAATTCGGAAGCCACAGCAGAAATAGCAGACAGATGCCCTGCCCAAAATTGCCGAACACGCGTGAACAGACAAAGTATGCGGCCCAAAGATCCACTGCGCCTTTAGGATGTCAGCCCGCTGTGCACCGGTCAGCTCCACAAACGCCTTAGAACAGGGAGAGGCTCTGGGCGGCTCAGGGAGGTCGCGTTTTTGTGTCTAAAGTTTGGGAAGCACTCAAGGATTCAACGGGCCTCCGTGTGGGCCTCCGCGTCCCAGGTGCCGGCCGCTGACCGAGCGGCGCCACCAAGAAAGCCGCGGACGCGGTCCCCAGCACCCTGGAGGGAGAACTTCTCACGCACCAAGAGGGTACTTAAGGTGTGTCCGGTTCAAGTTGAAGGTTGAGGGTTCAGGGCTCAAAGGGGACGCTCTCTGCGCTGGACCCACCTTCGTAATCCCTATCTACTTGACCATGGCATTCTAATGGGATTCCGACATCTGGGCTCACGAAATGCGAAGCTGCCATCACTTTGGACTTCTTGGCGCTCCAATGTCGGATGTTTGCCAGTCCCACAGCCTTAAAGACCTCAGAAGCCTTCCTGAAACACCGTGCCCAATAGTGGCCCACACTCCCGCTTTGGGGCATCGAAAACTGGAACGTTGTAGATAGGATTGCATGTGAAACTCTCATCTTCTGTTGAGTGCCCTTCTGACATTTCTGCGGCAAACTCGGCCTTCTGCAGCTCTGTTCCTTTGGCAGTCGTGTTGAAATGGAACTTCTTGTTGAAGAAACACATGACCAAACAATACCATGTTACCAGGGTGAAGAAGATGGTATTGCTGAAAGGCCCCAAGAACGGCGATGACAGCAAAAGAAATGTTCTTCTGCAAGGAGAGACGGTCTTGACATATTCGGGGTGGGCTGCAAGTATGTGGTGCCTCAGAACGTGGTCTTGCAAAACAGAGACTCCCGTGGCCATGAGGTAGCTGACAAGCATCAATAGAAGAAGACAATGCAACGCCTCGGTCTGAAGTTCGCCAAGGATTGCCACAATCTCTGGCAGAAGTGGTAGCCACATCAAGCCACCAGTCAAGTTGCCCAAGGTAAACTTCGCGATGAGCCTGAAACTCGGCCAAACACTGAAGACATCAATGTTTGCTTCAGTAAGCATAGCTATTCCCCAGCCAACCACTGTGACTCCCCAATGCCATCTCCTCATCTGCTTGAAGCGCGATAGAATGTCTGATGGAATACCAACACTATTCACACACCACACCACCTTGCTCACGGTAGCTCCGCCAGCCAAGACACCCTTGTAGAACTGCATGTAGTCCTCTGAAATCTCATCCAGTGGCGCCCATCCCCCCTGCTCCTCAATGAAGCCCAAACATAGACTTTGAATGGCTAATGCTGGATTTCCTTGTGTCCACCTCGCTGGGTTGAAACAGTTCAGATATGCAAGGTGCAGGGAGTGGGCGTGAACTAGCAGGTTTGTGTCGGGCGACAGTCTGGTTTCCACGGTTGGGGCATGGTAGATGTGTCTGCGACCATCTATCTGGTGATACACAGTCCATTCAACGAGCTGTAGATAGTTGGGCGCCAGCGTGCAGTCGCTATCAACTTTTGTCACCATGATCCGGAACTTGTCCGTTTCCTCTGGGAAGAGCTTAGAGATGTACCGAACAGCAGAGCCCATGTTCGAACCGGGCCCCACCGCCTCGCCGGGAGCAAGCTCGTGCACGTTCAACACGAACCCTGCGGGGAAGAGGAGCTTGTATTCCCGCGCGAGCTCTTGGAATGCTTCCAAGTGCGTCGGGTCACGAGCTTCACAAGCAATGACGACCATGACTCGGGCGTTCGGAACTGTCTGATGTAGAATGGAGTCCAGAGTGCGGCTTAGCTCCTCAAACGGCTCTTTGTACCTCAGGACAACCACACAGTGAAGAAAGCCCTCTATCTCCGGTTCGACATGTCTCATCTGCTGAACTCGGTGTGCAGTGAGAAGCACTGGCAGGACTTTTGTCAAGGGGGCGGCAAACAAGCCGACGAGCATCGAAGCTCGTGCCCACCACAGAAAGGCATAGTCCGCATGCAAAAGCAGCTGCACAAAACCGTTGATTAAGTTGGCTGCATAAGGAGCGACCAATACCAAAAAAATCTTCGCAGTCAGGACCTGCGCAATGGCAAGCGCCATACAAGCAGGCAGTAGGAGAGTATAGTGTTTATGGCCAGCTCGGGAAGGGAGCAACTTTGGCATCCCAGCCGCAATCTTCAACAGATCAGGACCATAAGTGACACAAACGTATGCGGCGATGGAAAGCAAACACCAGTAGTTTGCAAGTAGAAGCCACCACATGGCAACTGGCACCCTCGAGACCATCTCCTGCACTTGGGCAGCGGCAGCCTCGAAAGTTGTCACCGCCATGAACCTGGTTGCACTGCCCTTTAAGCAGCTGCTCGCAACGCACACGTCTGGCTGGAGCCAAAAGGCCGTGTGAACAGGCCACTTCATAAACCAAAATAGGCAGAATACTGGAGTTCACGAATCAAACAAGCTTTCTCAGCCTTTGGATTCTTGCCCAATGAGTTCCGGCTGAAACACAAGCATCTCGGCAAGTCTTCTAACGCGTTCAAGGGTCCAGAACATTGTTTTGTACTGTGACCAGAACATTGTCATGGACATGTTTGTACGTCTTAGTACACATCAGGTTCGCCTAACTGAACGGGATATACCAAATAATACAAAATGTCGCCCCATGTTGTCATTGTATGGAACGGCAATACACGAAGTACAGTCAAGACAATGTCCAGTTGTAGTGACGTTGGTTACAAGATGCTTCTGGAACAGAAAAGCGGTTGGCCCCCTCAGGTGAGCTACGTACAGGCCAAAGCCCTGAGCCCTAAACTGAACTGGAAGGCGTCCTGCCGCATCAGTGCCCCGTATGCTGCCCGGGCGAAGACCGCTGCCAAGGTAGTCCGAGGCAGGAAGCCCTTAGAAAGAAAAACAAGCTTTTAGGAGTGTTTGGATTGGTCAGCACTTTGTTTGCTGAAGGATTCTTGTGTTTTAGAGGACCTTGGGATGAAGGAACTCTGAGGGGGCTCCCTGGGGTGTTGGAGGATGTGCCGGGCCTCGCCAGCAATGTTCTCCATGTGGGCCACCTCTGCCTGGCCCCAGGGCAACTTGGGCTTGGAGCTATTAAAGGTGAGGGCTAGGTTTTTTTTTCCGGTTCTGTGCAGCTGATAGGATTCTGGGAGTTTTGGAAGAAGGTTTTGTAAGGCTTGAAGGGATTATAGAGCTGTGCAGGCTTTGTAGGACTTAAAGGGATTTATGTGTCTGCCAGCGAGGTTTGCAGAGCCTTTGGAGTTTGGGAGCCTTGAACTTGAACTGACTGTAAACCTTCCACAAAATTCCGGCCGATCCAATGCGGACTGCTATCTGCTGCTCGCCCCTCACTGAACTGCCTCCCCCCCACCCCCTCCAGGTCATCTGCCCTGCGCGTGATGCCATGTGCCATGTCAATACACCACAAATCCGAAACATCTAAAATTCATGCCATAGAGCCTGCAAGCTTAAAACACAACTTGTCAGCTTGAGGCCTACTTCAAAGATCGAAGCCCCAATCATGACTACAAAGCCCTGAAAGTCCAGAACCGCAGTAAGCTCCACTAACTTACAGAAGACCTAGCAGCCCCTCAACCACCCAAAGACATAAATCCCAATCATGGCTTCTAATAACCTCTCGGCCAAAACCCCCCCCCCCCCCCGAACCCACAATAGCGCGCTTGCTTGTGGCTGCTGGCCTTCTGCGCATCGTCTCTCCTGCCCAAGGCCTGGGAGATAGGCACCTCCTGCGGAAACACTGGAAACACAGGTTTAGGGTTTTTGGGGTATCCCCTTCTGCAAGATCACCAGCCTCAAAGGCAGTGAGGTACTCCTCATAGTGCCTCGGCAGTCAGGTGAGTGAGAAGCTCGACCCACAAGAAGCTGACATCTAGGCTCTGTCAGTTCCGGGTGTCCAAGCCTTTGATGCTCCGGGTAGAGGCGAAAAGGCAAGCTCGGGTCAGCCAGAATGCTCAGGATGTCGCCTCGTCATGCAGCATTGTTTAAAAAACTAGTGCAACTGTGTGGAGATGCCATGCCATAATGAGGACAACTTGTATGGGAAGAATATGCTAATGCCACAATATAATCATATAGGTAATCTATACTCAGTAATCAATTCATATTAGATATTAACCCATATTATAATTGTGTGTGAGCATCCACCACTGGTGGCAGTCATCCGACTACGTAGTACTGCTCAGCCGGGTCTCTCTTTGAACGCTTCCCGATGTGAGCCACCAAGAGCGACCGAAGCATGTCGAGAGCCTCGTGGGGAATCTAGGGTTGTCAAGATAGTTTGGGATTTATGGGGCTTTTTGTGTTCATGGGATGTTTTGGGGCTTCAGTGCTTGAAGCCGGCTCTCCCCCACCCCCCACCCCCCGGGCGGCTGTGCATGTGTTTTGCCAACCATCGTCGATGCTTGTTGCTTTGGCAATCTGCCTCACCAGCAGCATCTGGCGACGTCTCTGAGGAATCGCTGGATCGCATCAGGAGGCGTTCCATGGCTCATGCGGCCGGGCCGGCTTCACAGTCGTAGCTTATGGTTTTGGGTTGTGGTATGGGTCAGGCCTCAACCGTGGAAGACTGTCGCTGCTGTTGCTTCGAGCGAAGATCGGTCGTTGGGCCTTTTGTAAGTTCATGTAACAGCGGGTGATTGATGGATATGGGTGGATGGACTATGCAGAGCCAAGCTGCCGCGAAACAATCACGCCCTGAGACCCGCTCTCTCGCTCAGTGCATGGCCATGTGTGTTGCGGTTTCGAAAACAGTTGGGGTTTGAGTGTAGGCTTCATGTTGAGGATATTCAGAGTTTGCTGTAGAACACCTTGATTGTAAGATGCAAACAGCACTGCCGGATGTCCTTCTCGTGCAGCTTCTTCAGGTATTGTGCCACATGGCCAATTCTGTCGCGAGACAACGCCAGCCATGTGGACTAGACTACCATGGCATGGCTTGTTCCGGAGCACCTCTGGGCATCAAGATACCTCTCCACCACATAGGAAGGCTCGAGCGGAAGGCCCAACTCCACAGTCTTGGCATAGACGCTCAAGGCCTCAGCAAGGGCACGATAAACGTCTGGAACGACGGGTGGAGACCATCGGGACTGAACTTCGAGCTCCCTGAGTGGCAAGAATTAGCAACCGTTTCATGAACTGCTTCATGCGTCTCCGTGCGTCGGGTCTGCCTGATCGTAGGCTCTCTTCTCAAACAGCGCGTCGCCATGCTGCCGGTAAATGTCGGCGGTTACCTTAAAAAAAAGCATCCGAGGGGTGCAAGCTCGAAAGTGGCCGACTATTCCTTGAAATCATTACTATTATTATTACTATTATTATTGTCCTTCTGAGTAGTATCATTATTCTTATTCTTATTATCCTGTTTAGGGCTGCTTGAAGCATCGAGTCGGCTTTTGGGCAACTCCAAGTCCCCTGGCCTCTGGGGTGGCACTGCAAGACAGAGCAACCTCCACGGGGAGCTGCCAGCAAAGACAGTCAGTTCAGGTCCTTTCATCCGGTATCCTTCTTATCCTTGCAATGAGAACTTGAACTGGCGCTGGGGGAGCCTCTGCGGCCCACTCGAACATGCGCTTCTTTACGAGCACATCCTTAAGATGCATCGGATTGCAGAGGGGGGGGGGTGGGGGGGGGCGGCAGTTTCGTGATTCGTGATGTGGAGGCCGGGGCCTGGCAATCGCTGAGCTGGCTTCATGTTGGCCCCTCTTTTTATGACCTTGCAACCCGACACCCTAGAATACCCTAAAGTTGTGTTGGAAGGGCACGCTACCAAAAAGAGGGCTCAACACTAGTTTGCATGGCCGGCGAGGCTCAGCTACACAGCAATAATGCGCATGCCCACTCTGAAAGGACCTCAGAGGCGCGAGCCAGTCTCTCTTCCAGTGGCTTCTCTCGAAGCTCGAAGAGGACCTCGGCGGCACGCCTAGCTTTGGGCGTTTGGAACGCAACTTCCACTAGCCCGGCGTAGACCGGAAAACGGCGGAACAATCTGCAAATGAAAGAAAGCTGGGGTGTTGAGTCTTTGAAGGGGCTGATGTATGCTCCACTGTACTATGCTTACTTCGTTGTGAAGCACAGTTCCATGAATGAGAAGCCTGTGGATCGCCGCCGAAGTCTCCGCTCTTCCTAGCCAAGAGACAGTGTTGCCGTCCGCACCACCACGAGATAGGACGAACACGCGCCCCAGGCCCACCACGACGTTCGTGACGTCTGTGAATTGGCTGGTCTTGGCACATGTCGCAGAACAAACTCGCTTGGATGGCTTGTTTCCCACTGGGTCGATTTGCTACCCTAAGCCCTAAACATCCCTAAACATTCCTAAACATCCCTAAACATCCCTAAACATCCCTATCCCCCCTCCGCCCTGCCCCCCAAAACCAAAAACAACAAAAGCCGGCAAACCGCCAGGCACACGCGGGGCCAATTGCAGCAAGCAACGAAGGCAATGAAGCGCATCCCCTTTTGTGCCAACACGATCGTCACCTGGGCATTGTCCTAACCCATGCGGCTCAGGGTATTGTTTAACACAAACACAAACACAAACACAAACACCAACACCAACACCAACACCAACACCAACACCAACACCAACACACGCACACACACACACACACACACACCCTGACGCTGACACTGACACTGACACTGACACTGGGACACACGATTGCCCGTGAAAAGCTCTGGTCTCCCCCAAGCCTCGATCACTTGGCTCAAGGATGCACGGCCCGTGTCAGCTGCGTCCCAATCGGAACATGAAGCCCTATGAACTTGCTGGAATCGCCAGAGCACTGGGCACTTCATTGAGAGGCAGTGGGTAGTTATTTCAAATATGTTGAAGCCCAAGAAGAAAAGTGATTTAAAGCGTTGGGTTTTACTGGATTTTCATGCCACTGAGGATGCAGTCTGCTACCGCAGCCCCATAACCCTGCGACTTGCTGCCGCTGGTACAACAGTAAAAGGCATGAAGCAATCAGCATAAGGCTGCGAGACGAGTCGCCGTCTGCTTTGGCATTGAAGATGGCCTCAAGACAGCTGCAATGTGGCGGTCTTGTAGATGGTGGCACTAGGAAAACTATTTGTAGCCACCTAACTTGGGATGCCAATCGCTTGCCAGGAGCGTTGACGTGAATGCTGGCAGCGCAGCACTATCGGCCGTCACGACCTGGGTTTCTTGTGGCTGCGCAGTGCAAAGAAGAGTAGACCATGGTGTTTCGTGCTTCTTCTGATATCCGACGTGAGTGGACCTGGCTTCTACTGCTGGCAGTGCACACATGCAGCGCTTGTGCTCAGCAAGTGGCAGCAAAGTAGGACTTGAAGCGCTTGAGGATCACCTTATCACCATCAAGAGGCATAGCAGACCTCGGGGCAAAAGCAAGTTTCGAATTGGAAGAAATGAAAGGGATGAACATGCACAATATTGCACAATCATGCACATGCAGGCATGTCCACAATTTCTGGGTCTCCTGTTTGTGCGCCCTTGCCACAAAGGGAATGGTTGCTGTGACGTTATCATGTGCCCGAGATGAAGATGCTCATCGACAGGGGAGAAGCCAGTGCCGGCGAAGCCACATATTGCCCTCTTGTGGGTCGTAAGCAAAAACAGCATCGGTTTTCGCCACGAGCAGTGCCTGAGCTCTGCAAATGTTGCTCACCTTCCGCATTGCTTCATATATGCACAGGGAAAACCACGTTTGGGAGAAAACGCCGTGCCGCGGGAATAGCGTTGATTGAGGCGCGAAACAGCTACTGGTACTGCTGACACGCCGAGATTGTCCCCTGATAAGCAGGTACGAACTGCACGACTCTGGGTGAGGTGCATCTGGCAGCTAGTCGCTGGCAAGACTTGAGATTGTGTGGCCAGTCATGCCTAGAGGCATTCATTCCCGGGAAGATGCAGGTGCAACCCACGGCAGCACCCCCAGTCGAATCTGCATTCAGTAGTCTCAGCTCCTTAACAGCTTGACAACAATGGCTCCGTTTCCATGGAAGCAGTGCAGGGCCTGATTGGCGATGTTGCCACCGTTCTGATCGCAAACTTGCCACGAACACACCGCATTCGAAGTACAGGCAAACAGCACCACCCGGTTGCCCTGCACCAGGGGGTAAATGCATTAAATGCTTCAAGCGGTGCAGCAAGAGTCCGCTTCGCCGGATGAGGCAGCCAGAGTCACAGCTGCTGTACAAGTATAGTCTTTTCTAACAACGATTCTGGCTGCTAGTCAGCCGGACGACAGAACAGCGAGCCTGCTCCAGAAATTCCAGGGATGTCACCTGGCGTTGCATTGCGCCGCATCTCAAAGGAGCTCCGATGGCTTCAAGGTTCAGGGTTGAGTATGCCTGAAAAAAGGTTCAAAGTTAGGGCATCGCGATGGAGGGTGAACCTATGTCCCAGATGTCTTGGTGCAGCCCGAGCAGCTTCCTGGCCAGCACCCTGCTGTGATTCCTGGCATCTCTCCAACCCTTAAAGCCCTTGATGGCATATCAGCATGGGTGACGATGACCATCGATGACCCCGTCCCCCCCCTGACCCGCTTCCCGAGAGACCAGGCTACGACGTTCGTAGACGCACGGTTTTGCGTGGTTCACCAGAGAATGCTGATACCAGAGCCCAGACAAGGCACGGACAAGAAAAGACCAAGCGATTTCAGAACAGAACTATCTGAACTGACTACTTCGAGCAGTCACAGCATAACGGTACTTACGGAGTCAAATCTTTCGAGGAGCGGGGCTGAAGCGCTCTCTTGAAATCTAAGGTCGATGGTTGCTTCGAATGGCCTCTGTCTCTGTAGGAGGGGTTGCGTTGTAGCCACACAGCATTCAAAGCATGATTGGCATCCCGTTCGAACATGCCTTAAAGTCTAGGCCAAAACGGACCAATTCCATGGGAACGGCAGGTGCGCAATGACCGCGATGCTTTTTGTAACAGGGACGACCAGGTCCTTCGACAATCTTATAACAAGGCAGAAGGCGTCGACGCAGGGCCACGAATTCTCGGCATGAATGACTAGCCCTGAACTTACTCTGTCCATCCCTGTCCTCCACAACAGTGAGCGTCACGGGTGTTTGCTTCTCTTGGAGCAAGTCCTGGCCAACTACTGGTAGTAGACAGATGCCAGCACTAGGCTCACCGACAATCATCCCGGTGTCGGTGGCACGTATCCGAGTGGTGTTTTGCCGGCAGTCTCTCAGAGCAAAATGCAACAAGGTCCACTCTCGATCAAACAACTTGTCTCAAAAAACCTGTCTGCAGCCTGCTGCGATGCTCAGGTATCGTTTCGGTGCAGCAGCCACGTGCTGTCGAACCATGCAACACGCTGACAAGCTATGGCGTGCATGCCGCGCGCCAGTGCTCCTTGTGTCTACTTGCTTGCATGCTTGCTTGTTGCTTGCTTGCTCGCTTGCATGCATGTGTGCGTGTGCGTGTGCGTGTGCGTGTGCGTGTGCGTGTGCGTGTGCGTGTGCGTGTGCGTGTGCGTGTGCGTGTGCGTGTGCGTGTGCGTGTGCGTGTGCGTGTGCGTGTGCGTGTGGGTGTGGGTGTGGGTGTGGGTGTGGGTGTGGGTGTGGGTGTGGGTGTGGGGGTGGGTGTGGGTGTGGGTGTGGGTGTGGGTGTGGGTGTGGGTGTGGGTGTGGGTGTGGGTGTGGGTGTGGGTGTGGGTGTGGGTGTGGGTGTGGGTGTGTGTGTGTGTGTGTGTGTGTGTGTGTGTGTGTGTGTGTGTCTGTGTCTGTGTCTGCGTCTGTGTCTGTGTCTGTGTCTGCGTCTGCGTCTGTGTCTGTGTCTGTGTCTGTCTGTGTGGGTGGGTGGGTGTGTGTGGGGGGGGGGAAGATTTTTACGAAGGTCGTCTGCAGCGGAATTCAATCTCTGCATGTTTCTGCAGGGGCGCAAGGGCTCCAGTGCAAACCTTGCCCAACGAAGCCGAGTTCATAGTGTGGATGCAATGCTGATCAACTTTGTGCACCTGCAATCTTTCACAAAATCCATGCGTGATCTGTTTATGCTCTGTGCAACGTCCTTGCAACTAGAGCCATACCTATGAAGGGCTTCATGATGGCCAGCGTGCCTTACTCGTCCACTCCGAAAGAATGATAGCGTGCATCAGAAGGAGGATTGCACGAGTGTCTGTATGTGGGTGTGCTAACATGCAATCACACTTTCCGTGAGAAACAGTGGTCGAGGGCACTGCACTTTCGGGAGTGAACTCTAAGAGTCGAGGTCGACTTGTGTAGACTTGGCTACGAAGCTGAAAGCTTCAGGACTTTGGTGGCAGCTTTGAGGAGAAGATGGCGACTTTGCATTCGCGAATGCGTGCGCGCGTGTGTGTGTGTGTGTGCAAAGTCGGAGCTGACTTGGTTCAAGAAACTCAAGAACTAGCTCGAATCATCCGAGGAAATCGAAGTTCAGATACTTTAAGGAGCTATTTGTAAGTGGCATGCTACCCGAGAGAATGGGTTCAACTGTACCAACAACCACTTCAAATCTAGACTCACCCCGTGCAGAAAGAGCCGGCAGCGTTCATCCTGGGCCCGGAAAAGCTGCACGGTGCCGTTCTTGCAGCCAACAGCCACTAGGCCTGGGGCGATTCGGCGATAGGGCCGGGGTTTCGACAGGGCTTAGACTGGAGGTGCGGGTCAAGAAGGCTTGATTCCTGTGCTATTTGAGCGGAACCGGCTCGAAGGTCTGAGGAACCACGCCAAATTTGCTCGCCACCATGCCGAAGGCAGCCAAACACGTGGCCTAGCATATCCCAGTTTGGGGGAGGTTGGCCTAAAGCACTACCACATGACTCAGCCGGTTCAATTCGGCCTGCCCCTCAGGACCTCGCTGGCCGAAGACACGGTGCCTGGCTGGTAGCAACTGGGGTCCACGAACATATTGCGCGGCTGAATGTGCTGTGTACGGTGCTCTTTGTGGGAGGCCGCGTCTTCTCGGTGCGATCTGCGATTGAATGCATGAGCACTGACAACTAATGAACAGTCGTCAGGAAAGCCGACAAACTTTAGGCCATCTCAAAGCACATTGTGCAATACGACTTGTGACTCGAACTGTCTGCTCACATTGGAGTTGGCACTCATCTCAGGGTTCTTGTGGGAAAACTCGTCCTGCTCTACTGGCTGACGATGGAGATGTGCTGTTTCTTGTGCATTGGCCACATACAGGAACCCTACCTCCCTGCCCCTTTTGTGTGCTGCATTCATCAAGCATTTTGGCTCCCTCTTCAGCTGGGCATTCGGATGCATGCGTCTTGGCTGTTTGAAGTCCGTGTTGAGGCAGTAAGGTGCCCGCGAGAGCCTGCAACGCTTGCAGCGATTCGTGCTGAGCCGCGGGCGCTGCAAGCCCAGAGAGGTTGGGCTGCGCGTTGTAGATCTGCGCAGACGTGGAACCATTGCGGTTTCATGAGCCAGTGGCCTCACTTTAGGGAATCAGCGCATTTCCGACCAAAGTTGCCGGGAAATACCAAGACTTGTATGCACCTGGTGAACAGGCACCATGATGACTTCAGGTTTGCCATTGGCTACGCAACATTTCCCAACGTGAAACCTGCACCACGATCTCCGTCAACATGAAGGCAACATGCAACACAAGGTCTGTTTGCAGGGCATATCAGCTATCAACGTTTCCTTGTACTTGGTCACGCCCGGTGAACCAGCTGCTGTCAGACCACCTGCACCACAGGTCCGATGTTGTCGGAGCAGCAAGTTGCGGCACAAGAGGAGTATGCTCGGAGCGGGGGTGGGAGAAGCATGGAGAGTCCAGGACCAGGAGAATGACAAAACTGCACAACAACGGCGACGACAACGGCCAACGCCACCTCCCCACACCACCACAAGCACGACCAGCACGATCACAACAGCACGATCACAACAACAAAAACAACAACGACGACGACGACGACAACCACCACCACCGCCACCACCACCACCACCACCACGACCACGACCACGACCACCACCACCACCACCACCACCACCACCACCACCACAACCACGACCACGAGAACGACATCCACAACCACAACGACAACCACAGCCACTGCCACACAAGAACAAGAACAAGAAGAATAACAACATGAATCAGGGAGGCAGGGTGTGTATCGCTTGAAGTGGTGCCGCTCCAACTGTTATAAACAAGGGGGTTGCGCCACGATGAGCCCAGCCAAAGCCAACCTAAACCCAAGAAAACCCACGAAAACCCAAAAAGCCCAAGAAAACTTTAGCTTTGCCTTGAAGGATTGTGGACGGCTGTTCATGTGAAAGTGCATGAAATGCCCCCCCTCCCCCCCCGCCTCCCCAATCCTGCAAAAATACGAAAAAGCCCAACCAAACATGCCAAAAAAAACCCACAAATCAAAAAAAACAACATTTTCCCATTTCCGGCAGGGCTGCCAAGAATCCCAACCATTCCTACGAAAATCCCAACAGATCCTTGAAACCTCCCACCATTTCCCAACCAATCCTGTGACAATCCAAGCCCCGTCTTCCGCTTGATGCCCAACTAGTCCCACAAGAGACTCACGGTATTCACTGTTCAGGAAAACCCTCCGAGTTGGAAATCGTACAGGTGTGTGGCAGCGAAAATGTTCGGAAAGTTCAGGTTTTCGCCGTTTCAGAGCTTGAGACAAGCAGGGCTGAAGAAGCATTGTTTAAAGTATACACTCCGCCACCACCAGAAAGACCAACAAGAACAAGAAGGACGGCAGAGCAAGAAGAACAAGAAAAACAATAACAATAACAAAAGCAATAACGAGCACAATAGCAAGGACAAGGACAAGATCAAGAACAACCGCAAACACAAACCCAGCATCAAAGCAAACAGGACAAACGGAACCAACAACACAGCAAACTACTACGGAGGTCACTGAACTCAATCACACATGTTCTCCAGC